CTTTTGGACCAAGTATACAGGGCCCGAAGGGTGGATCCTAGGGGGTAGAGTATGGGACCGAAATTGTAGCCCTTCGCGAGACCGATCGATGTCCCTCGGGAGACAACCCTCCCCCGTTAACGGTTTCCGAGTTACGGACCAAAAATAGGAAGGGGCGCTTTGCACCCCTATAACTAAGGAACGGAGATAGATATCGACGCGAGACCAACGCCAGAATCCGTTTCGCGTGACCAATTTTCGAATTCCGTAATAAAAAAAATGCAAAAAAGCTGGAACCCCGTAACCCTAGACGACAACGAACTGTGTTAATGTCCCCAGTGTCCCTCTCCCCAAAGTACCCCCCCCCTACCCACTCCCATCCCACCATGCTATTTTGAAGATCCCCTTTTCATCGCATGACGATGAAACGGAACTCCAAAGGCTGAAAAAGAGGACTTGTTGCCTCGGACGACAATCAGCTAGCAATAGAACGATCTAATGCGACCCGACTAACATCTCCCCGTTTAGTTACGTTCACACTGACCCTTCACCTCCCGTCTACACAGAACTTACATACATGGAAACAGTGACTGAATGAATGGATGAGCAAGTGAATTAATGAGCGAATGATAGGTGAATGAATGAATGAATGAATGAATGAGGGAAACTGATAAAATGTAGTGCGTGTCACGAGTCGAAGAGGAAAACTTCTACTTGTCCTAGTCCGACTCGTCATCTCTGAGAGGTGGAAGGTGAGCGCGTCCTAGTCGTTCTCGACGTCTCTCTTCCTCCTCCTTCTCTCTCATTACTTTTTCGGCAAATGCCGAGAAAGCCACCCAAAGCTCTTTTGACCCCACAATGGCTTCAACAATGTCGCCAAGCGTGAAGTCCCTATTTAAATTAAACTTCCATTTGAGCCTGATTCTGTCCGTGTCCCAGTTCGGGCAATCCCTGATTGTGTGGTAAACATCGTCTTCTTCGCCACAGAAATTGCAACTTGAATCATCCCTCCTACCGATTCTGTAGAGATACTTCGAAAAGCAACCGTGTCCAGTAAACATTTGTGTCACGTGAAAAGTCATTCCGCCAGCCTCGCGAGACATCCACGCTTCCATCCTAGGGACTATGGCCATTTTCGTGAACTCCCCAGGTGTGTTCGGCTTTTCCAGCTGAGTTCGCCATTCGTTCAGCATACTTAGATGCTCCTCCTCTTTAATCTCATTTCTGATTTTTTAGAAAAATCCCCATTATCCCTAGATTCCCTAGTGCGTTCGTAAATGCGTTTCCGCATCAACGCCAAAAGGCGTAAAGGCGGCAGACGAGCCAATAAGAAGGCTGCGTTGCTCGAAACCGTCCGATATGCGGAAATGACACGCTGCGCTACTGTGCGCTCTAAACCAACCAGCATGGGTGATAGTTTGCTGGAAATCAGCGCACTTCCCCACACCGGAGCTCCGTATAGCACAACCGACATGACTACATTGGCGAATAATCTACGGCGCTTTTCATCAGGACCTCTGAGATTCGGCATTAGCCGATTGAGAGCTCGAGTTACCCGAGTTGCCTTCTCAGCAATATACCTAAAATGGTCATTGAACAACCAGTTCACATCTATGAAAACTCCTAGATATTTAATGCTAGGTGAGAAATTGATCAAAGCATCTCCTATCATAATAGATTCCGGTAGTTCTTCTATACCTTCTTTATGAAATAGAATAGCCTCCGTTTTTCCTCTAGCCACCGTTAGCCCTAAACTAATAATACGGTTGATTACTCTAGTGGCAAATACACTGGCTCTCAAACATACATTTCCGATATGGGTACCAGAGACAATAATAAGCGTGTCATCCGCATAACACAGAATCTCACAATCCTCCTCCCCATCTGCGAGCTCAATAACATCATCAAACGCGATGTTCCAAAGAATTGGACCTAATACAGAGCCCTGAGGCACTCCAGCTTCCATGTCTCTCACGAGACGTTTCCCGTCAATCCCGATGTAATGGATAGTTCTTTCAGATAGGTAAGAATCCATGATCCTCTGTATGTACGTCGGATAGCCTTTGTGCCTCAAGGCTCTGCGAATGATCCTCCAGTATGCTATTGAAGGCATTACGAATGTCTAGAGAGACCACGATCGCAAAACCTCCCTCCCTGACACAGGAGGAAGTGATATCCTTCACCATAAGAAGGGCGTCACAAGTGGACCGTCTCTTTCGGAAACCAAATTGGTTGTCCGAGAGCCCGGACCTCTCGTGCTCCGCCTGCCACTGGATGATCCTGCCCGCCAGGATGCGCTCAAAGGCTTTACCGATCTCATCTATTAGACAAATAGGTCTAACCCTGGGGAGGCCCGTTTCGACGATGTTTGATTTGCCCCCCTTGGGTATGAGAACTAAATTTGCTCGCTTCCAGGCTTTGGGGAATTCACCCTGAATTAGGCAGGTGTTGAACAGGTGTTCTACCCAGTCAAGTATTTCCTCTGTTACACATTTTTACGTGACCAAACGAAGGCCATCAGCGCCAGGGGCCTTAGTTGTAGAAGTCGACACTTTTTTGATCGCGTTTAGAACTTTAGAGCCGCAAATGGCCCATTCTTCTACCCATTCAAAACCTGCCCAATCCCCAATTGGGTCTAATAAATTATTCCTAGGAAATAGGGAATCTAGCAATTCTGACAGAGTTTCCGAATCTAAAAGCTCCGTCATACCAGAAGTCGCTGATCTAAGTTTCCTAAGAACTATCCTATAGGGAAGCCCCCAGGGATCGCCATTAATCGAGTCAATGAGCTCCTGCCACGCCGCGGATTTCAGTCTGTTTATCTCTATGCGCAGGTCTTTACGTTTGCGCTTAAAATCAGCGCCCAACTCATCTATGACTTCCTGAGGGCGCTTCTTCCTCTTCTTGGCCCTCTGCCAGAGGCGCCTCGCATGGATACACCTTTGGCGAAGAATTGCCGCTGAGTCCTGCCACCAGTATGCGTGGCGTCTGGGTTTCCTAGGTCCGATTCTTGAGGCCGCAGCATCGCAGGCTTCCTCCATTACTCGATCCAACCTGTTAGTCATCCGCTGAACATTTTGACGGTCTTCGGCTCTAGGCCCATGTCCTCTCCAAGTCAAGACTGCCAGGAAAAGGTCCTTGTCGAACCTTTTTATATTCCACTTCCTTGATGTCGTACGATTTAACGGCGCGCTTGGTCAATCTGTGTGCACTGAGTAGGAGATATATTGGTGGTCAGAGAGAGATTCTAGGTCATCCCGAACTCGCCAGTCTCTGATCTTTGCTAGTATATCCGGGGATACCCAGGTCAAGTCAACTATAGAGCTTCCTTGTTGACGAATACAAGTTGGATTGTTACCAACATTTGCTATCCGCAGATCCCTCTCTGCTGACCACCTAGCAAGCAGATTTCCCTTACTATCCGTAGAGTTAGCCCCCCAGAGGCTGGCTTTGGCGTTAAAATCGCCTCCGATGATGATATTGTCCAGTCTAGATGACAACACCCCTGACAAATCATCCAGTGTGTTATTATACTCCCGTTGACCATACCTAGGAGGAATGTATGTCGAAACGATCTTATACGGGCCACAATCTATCGCGACGTAATTAGCTCCTATTCCAGCAAGTTGGCACCTCATCCTCACTATGCCGGGGTCTACAAAGATGGCTGCACTTCCATCTCTACTCGCGAACCAGTTCTCCGTGTCCGGAACGTAGTTCGGTTCCGAAACTAGCAGCAGGCCAACCCCAAACTCCCTAGCCTAATGGACTAGTAAGTCTAGGGAGGGCCTGCTACGATTGACATTCGCTTGCAATATGTCAACATCTACGTCCATTTGCGTCGCCCCTTGAGAGGGATTCGGTGCCTCGCCGGTTCTTCCAAATCTGTTCAGACCAGTCGTTCTAAAACTTGCCCTACTCTTGACAGTTCTATGTTCCGCAGCGCAGAGATTTGATCCTATTCTATGATTAGGGTTTTTACCCTTCGATAGGCAGATCTTGCAAGATGACGGGAGGTTGCAGTCTCTGGCCGCATGACCCGGCCCACCGCACTTAAAGCACAATCTGCTGTAGTCCTCCTCAGCTGTGCATGTGAGTCTAACATGACCAAACCTCCAACACTTAAAGCATTGGACTGGCCTGGCATCCAGCAGGTCCACCCTAGCTATTGTCCATCCTATTCTAACTTTCTTACTGTTAGCTGTCTTGATTGCCGCACTTAACGGGCATTGCGCCCAGACAGTAAATAAACCGTTGTTCATGGAGCGAATTGTTCCTACCTTGATTTCCTTCTCTTTGCATCCACCGTATTGGGCTACGACGCAAGCGACCTCGTTTTCTGAGACAGAGTCGTCCAATCCGACTAGTCGAATTTCACCCTTTACTATGGGTCTGGCTACCTTTGCCTGATCTTGCAGAACATTCCGTAGTTTTTCGGCGAGAGCATTGGCCCTATCAGATCCATTGGGGCCTAGGATCTCTATGATCATGCCCCCGTTTGCCGCTTTCCTAATTTTTGACTTGTCATTAAGTGAAATAGCCTCGCGCGCTTTTTTAAGTACTCCTGCATATGAAAGATCATTGTCCCATTTGGTGATCATAACCGCAGCGGTCTTGGGAGGTCTACGGGTTGTTTTCGCAGGTCTCAAGCCGCTCGCGTTACCGGTGACTACCTTTTGGGACGGGTTTCTCTCTTGTTCCTTTTTCCCTCCAAAGTTCCTCCCTTTGTTTCTCCTGGCAAATTCTTTCCATTCATCCCTTGTGCTGTCTCCTCCATCGCCCTCTCTCTCTGATGTATTCTTGTCCATGTTTCTGTTCCTATTCCTAGCTTCCTGACCAGTTTTTGGGGGAACTACCTGAATGTTCGAAGTGATTCTAGGTCTCACTCTAAGGGTGCGCTGGGGCAAGGGTCTTTCTTTACCTCTTTGCACCTCACTTCCCGTCTCACTGTCTTCGGTCTTTCCCTTCTTCCTAATCTCGGCTCTTTTCCTGATCCAGTCCTTAGTCTGTTTACGTGTATCCACAACTGTGTTTTGTTCTTTACCTTTCTCTTTTTCTTTTTCAGGTTCCAGAGTTTGTGCGTGTCCAGGCTATCCAATTTCCTCGTGTTGATGTTCAGCTGTGTGGTCACCAATCAGCCTGTTTCTAGTGGGAGATAAGTATACTTCTTCTTGGTAAGTATTTATGTCCAGTTCGTCTCCTAATTTCTGTCCTCCTTTTTTCATTTTCCATTCTGCGATCCTTTGGCTTGCCCTAGCTTTTCTTCTGTCTTCCTCTGCTTCATCTAACTTGTCCTTCAATTTGAGTACTTCCTTCCTGAGTTCCTGAATGAGGCTTCTCATTTCCTCCATCTCTTTTTTTCTCAAAATTTCTTCTCTTTTGAGCTTCTCCACTTGTGCGGCTAGTTCTTTATTTCTGAGCTTAAGATGGGACGGGTCCCCTGTTGCTTCCGCCTTAAATATCAAGGTGTTGATAGTCTCTTTGGCCTTTTCGAGGTCTTTCCTCATTTTACCGCTGATTCCTCCCTGCAAATTTTTGCTTTTCGCGCGCATGCGTTCCACATTCGCAATGCAGTCCAGTCCTAAGGAGCCAACGCCTACCGCCCCCATTATTCTCAGGTCCTGTGGCGCAAAGTCCAATCCAGCTTCTTCGTCCTCCGAGAAAATCAGGATCTCTTCAATCCTGCTTTTAGCTTTGAGACTCTTTTTGGGAGCTTTCTTCTTTGCTTCTTTGCTTGTGGAGTCCAACTCGGAGCTTCTATCGGTGTCCGTGGACAGCCGATTTAAAGATAATTTTTCAGCGACATCTATCAACGGTCTCTTTTTCCTAGGATTTCTTACTTTTTTAGAAGTTGCGGGTGATGTTTCCCTTGAGCCTACTTCACCTTCCCGTTCTTCCTCACTTGGCGTTATTGTATCCGGAGAGATAAGGGCCTTTTTTTGGCCTTAGTCTCAGTTACCGCTAACGTTGTACCCCTAGTTAGTGGAGTCCCCACGATACCCTCTCCGACTGTTCCAGGTTGTTGAAATTCTCCTCCTCCTATCGGAGAGGTAAAGCAGTCTACGAATGCAGCCTCCAAGGGGTCTCTTGAGTCTTCCTCCCGGCCAATGAGAATCAGTGTTTCTGCGGCGGTAACTTCTTTATTCTCCTCGCCCGTCGTCAACGAAGGAAAAGGCCCTGCGCTTGATGGAGA